ACGGGGTCCCCTTTCATGAAACCCTGTCATAAACTAAAAGAGGCGATCGTGCTTCTCTTGCCTGTTGTCATGCTGTCCCTGGAATTCAGCTACAACAAAAATTTCACGAAAACGGATTTTTAAATTTTATGATTTTAATAATATTCTCAACAATGAATGATATACGGGTGGTAAAATGCCAAGTTATTCCAACATCATGATCATGTTTTGCAATTTACAACCAATATTTTGTATGTAACTTTGTTTGACAGAGCCCCAAGAGCTCTAACTACAAATATCAAAAATGTGAGGCTAAAATAGTCACACTACAACATTGTCAAATGTGCTGTATTTACGATAGATAACAGGTTTACCAAAAAGAATTACATGCAAAATGGTAAAATAAAGATCAATTCAGCAATATCTACTTGGTGATATTCATCTGTTGATGATTTTATGTGTTTGTTTCGGAAGTTTAATAACAGAAGTAATTGTGGTTGTTGGGGATGTTTTAAAAAAGGTTGCATGGAAAAAAGTTTTCACAAAATGTCAAGGTTTGATAGTAGTAGAGAAGTAGAAAAAATACTCCCATGTTTTTTTTTCATTTGATAACCACGCCACAGAACTTCCCCGATAAGTATACGCAGCAATTGCGAGAGGCAGAAATGCTAAGATGGGATTTCATCGCATTACAAACCAATATTAGCAATTCTTATATATATTCGCGCATTCCCAGCTGAACAGCGTGAAAAAGATTGTACCCATCTACACACTTTAAGAACTATGTCAGATGAGCGTCATATTATCGAATATCAGTAAAGGAAAAGTGCAAAGGGAAAAGACATATAAGGCGAAACTTTCAGTAGTATGCAATCAAATAATCTTATTGTAGAATATATATTTAAAAACATTTCGTCATGCCAACTGCAGTCCGAAACTTTTTGTCTCTGGCTGAGCTTAGATACCAATTGGCACTCATGTAAACTGGTAAGACTGTAAGAGGCACGCGATGGAGCAGATACTAAGAGTATCCATCCCCCAGCTGTCATTTGAGTGGGTACTGCTGTTTTTATTGCAGATGTTACTGATCTTTTTGTATAAAAGATTTACTGGCATCCCCGATTTAAGGATGTTGGAAACCAACCCGCAATATTACAAAACTTACTTTCAACACGCGGTTTGAATGAATGAAAAAGCTGAAACTAGTATTCTTTAGAACAGCATACAAATTCTATGGAATGAAATCATACACAAAAGCTCGTCAAAAACCTATAGCTCAATAATCAAATGGAATTTGATGCATGTGCGCAAAAATGTGCGCGTTACCACGTATAACCGAAGCACGCAGGAATATGCGTGTGATGTACTAGTATTCAAAACGTTTGACTCAACTATGTTGGCATAACAGGTGCACATCTCGGTTTCGCATACGCATACCTTCTATCTCCACAAGGATATATTAATTTTGCCAAAGTCAATGCAGCACTGAAAGGTTGCGGTTCTTCCAAAAGAAAACACGTTACACATCTTTAGATACCAGTGGATGGTATTACATGGCCTTGTTCGGAGTGAAAGACGAGGTCAAATATTCCAATCCATTTCAACTAATAAAATATTTCCCAAGTCCCTAAGCTTAAACTAGGAAAACGAAATGCCAGATGTAGTTTGAAGAGCGCAATAGAAAGTGGCTAGATGCTGTCGATGGATCTTGGCTTGTATTAGTGAAATAAACTACCATTTATTCTACTAAAATTGAATTTCTGACATTGTAAGGAGATTCAATGTTACTATGTATGCAAACCTAAACCATGTAGTTATGAAATAATTGTTTTTAACAAAAAGGCGCTCTTGAAGTATTTGTACCAAGATGGCGCACAACCTGAACACTGTATGGTTACCAGGTTAGGGTTCAGAATGTGCGTCATCTTGGACCGAATACTTTAAATCCACTTATAAAAAAAAATTGCTCAACATTACTCCACACCCACCTGGGTATCATTATATATGTCATATACATTATATCTAAACAATAAAAAAAAACTTTATGTCCCAAAACAATGTTAAGGCCCGATTCTACCGGACTATCTTATCCAAAATGTATAGTTTACAAAAAACAAATTAAAATATAAACCTCACTGATAAATGGTGGCAAAATACAAAATACACCCATATAATGTGCACGTAAATTAATATGTCCGCTTCTGCTTGTCTAAAGCCCTGCTTAGAGTGATATCGCGTAACGCCATATTAATATATTGTAGCCCAATACATGATCTATGGCTAGACATAAAATAACAAGTCCCTCCTTATGTGTGTGTGGTAGGGAGGCCGCTGCCCTCACTGAGTTAGTTAACGTAGTCGCAGACGCCATTACGGGTGATCAGCTCTATTTTGTTACTGTGACGTCGCATTGGCGTAATTTTTTGATGACGAAGTCAGGTGAGGGTCAGGAATATTATATGCAAAAATTGTTACGCTAAGTTAACTATAGGTAATTGAGGTACAAAACTACATCCATAGGTGTCATTACGAATATCGTCGCTATTATTGGGCAAGCTCTATTTCGTTATTGTGAATTCGCATTGACGTAATTTTTTGATGACGAAATCAGGTGAGGGTCAGGATTATTATATGCGAAAACTGTTACGCTAAGTTAACTAGAAGTTATTGAGGTAAGAAACTACATCCATAGCGGACACACAGGCGTATTTATCACGATTGCATTATGGTCGCTATTATTGGGCAAGCTCGATTTCGTTATTGTGACATCGCATTGACGTAATTTTTGGATGACGAAGTCAGGTGAGGGTCAGGAATGATATATGCAAAAATTGTTACGCAAAGATAAGTATAAGTTATCGAGGTAAGAAACTACATCCATTGCGCTAAGGCAAATTAATATGTCGGTTTCTGCTTGTCTGAAGCCTCGCATAGAGTGAAAGCGTTCCACGTCCTATTAATAAAATGTGGCCCAATACATGATCAGTCTCTGGATATTAAATAACAAGTCTTTATGTCTGCGGCACCTAACCTCAATCATTGCGTGAAATAAATGTTCTTTCTGTTTGTCTAAAGCCTAGCTCAGAGCGGTATCGTATATCACCCTATTAATAGATCGTAGCACAATACATGAGCTATTGCTGGACATAAAATAATAAGTCTTTATGTGTGTGGTGCCCAACTTCAACCGTTGCGTAAAATAACATGTGTTTTCTGCTTGTCTAAAGCCTTGGTTAGAGTTGTATTGTGTAACGCTCTATTTTAGATTGTAGCACGATACATGCATGAGCTATTGCTGGACAGAAATAGGTCAGAATGGGATATCGTGAACGTTCCTTGGCGACAATTTAGTCGCTTGTGATTCTTGTTTATTTTTGAGCTCTGTACAACGACCCCGATAAGAGAGAGGTCGCTGACGTATTGAGTTTGTTGACATACTCGTAGGCGCCATTGCGGGTGACCGTCGCTATACTTTGGCAAGCTGTATTTCGTTATTGTGACGTCGCAGTGACGTAATTTTTGGATGACGTCATCAGGTAGGGGTCAGGAATCATATATCCAAAAATTGTTACGCCACGCCCACTAGAAGTTATTCAGGTAAGAAAGTACATGAGACCCCCATAATGTAATAGGTGAAAATTTTAGTTGTTGGTCGTAAAACAGTAAAAGCATGGACATGTCTCTTAGACTCGTAATGCAGCAATAGGCTACAGCAATTCAGGAATGTTACCTAATAAAAATTGTACAACATTTTAGTTAAAGTTAGTTAGTTCAGTTGTGTCTATGATATAGTTCCCTAATCAGTAAATACAGGAATAGTTCAATTCCATAAATAAGCCATATAGTCTACAGATATATTTAAAGACATCAATTCTTGAAAATGACACATCTCTACTTTAATAGACAGTTTAGGGGTGTTGACCCCCCATATTGGCATTGCCATATCACCACAAGATCGGTGAAACGTTACTTCGTAATAACCTAAAACAGTAAAAGGAAGCACAATCTAAAACATTCACATTTATATTTCTCAAAATGAAATAATCCGATTCGTTGCTGGAAAAAATATATTTGATGAAACCCCAAATTCAAAATCTAAATGGAAAAACTGCCAAATAACAATAATCAAACTTCTCAAAAACGGTACTGCATAATGGGTGTTGAGTATTTAAACGAATTACATAACTTATTAACCCTGTAACTTCAAAATATGCCATGTATTTTTCAGTGCCATTGCATATTTTAAATTATCATACAATATACAGATATAAAAGGAATACCGTACCTTGCATTTCCTATCAAACAATGTCTAAAGATTTTGAAGAAGAAAGATTTAAACAAGTTATCCATTATACAGTGTCTAAAATATGTGAAAATATACAACATGAACAAAAAGATGAAATTGTTTTCACAAAGCAAACTATCGCTACCATTGCTGAAATAACTTACAGGCAATCTCAGATAATAGCAAACGATTTAGAGTGTTTTGCTCAACATGCAAAAAGAAAGCGGATAACTGTTGATGATGTTTTACTTTGTGCTCGAAGATCTCCAAGTTTACATCAGCACTTGGAAGAATTTAAGCAAAAATTGGCCAGTTCATCAAATGCAAAATGAAGCAAGCATGTGAATTGTGTGAGAAGGAAGCTTAGAAAACCCTTTTTATGAGGAATTCACTAATTCCAGAATTCTGTGATCTTGTAATTGATTGTCTCTCACAGATGAATAAATAAATATGCAGAGCTGCGGCAATGTGACTGAGTGTAAAGAATGATAGACAACTGTGAGATGAATCAGATCAAGTTTTAATACACTCATTTGTTAAAAAATTAGAGGGTGCTCCCGTAGTATGTGTACCGTGTTAGGCCATAATTTTATTCCTATTTTCCTTATTTTAGTTCTATTTCCAGATCCGGGACTGTCTGTATTAGCTAAGTGAATATCCCCCTGCTCATAGGCTTAGTCCTTTTACACAACTTGATGTAAAGTAGGCAAACAAAATTAGTTATCGCCACATCGGTACACATACTTCTGGAGCGCTGATTAGAGACCGAATAGTATCAAATGACATTTTTTTGATTTCTATGCAGTGGTATCAAATATACTATAGTATATGTTTCTAATTTGATGTGTTTGAATTTTTTCTTCCGAATATTTGAGACTGTTTAATTGCTGGTACTAGTTTTTCTGCTTTTGAATCAATGATTAGATTCAAATTTTACTTGTTATATATCCCGTTGCTTTTCTAGTTCTAGCAATTCTGTAAAATTGATAGCATTCTTCTCTATATGTAATATCAGCAATGCTGTTTTTTTCATACTGTCTTTGATGAACTTTTATTTAATTTAATCTCTCAGGTTTATATTATAAATGTAATTGTTACTATAGTAACGACTATTGGAACCATGTCTTCACACAAGAAACGACCAAGATTTGACATTTTCTCAAGAAGCAAAACAATGAACAGAAGTTTGAGAATCAAAGATAGAAAAAGACGAATTTTTGATCAGGTAATTTTATGTAGATTTATCATATTCTGAAATGATTGAGGATTTTTCCAATATGCTTATTTATTAATTATATTGAAAAATATAGAATAGTAATTTATATAAAGAGACTTATTTTGGTACTATTGCGAAATTGACTTCAATGAGGAATTTTAATATTATCAACCCAAATATTTTTCACATTTCTTGAAATGATTCAAACATCAGTTTTCGTCAGCACATGCCGGAAAGAGTTTTTGTTACACTTTTGACTATTTTTATGGTTTGCTATAGTGGTTCATAAAATCAAACACTTTTTTGAAAAGGATTAATAACATAACACACATGTTTTGACATACTCTAATGTTGTGAAGAGCTTGTGCATGAATTGTTTAATGATTTATTTCTCTGTATAGATATTCCTATACTTAAATCATAATTAATGTTGAAGAAGAAATGGCATATATCTGAATAGAGTGCTATTGCTTTTGTAACTTTCTCAAAAATTGTTACAGCTGTCTGTTTTATCAGTTCATCAATCAACTTTGGTTATTGAGTGCATTATAAAGAATTTCCATTTGACAATGATTTTGTATTCTCAAATGGTACATTTTATTCTGATTGTTGAATAATTTCCTGAATTGTTCGCGTTCATTATTGCCCGACAATTACCTATTCAGATCACCGGATGGCGTTAGTCATCTTGTTGATTTCGCATACGATATTTCCACACATCGAACCATCTTGGCGCCGCATGGTTTGTGGTGACAGTTGAATTGTCATGAAACGCCAATTGAAAACTGATGTTTTGTTATCAAACTGACTGAGTGTGGCTTCCATCTGCCTTTATAGGAGGAAAGAATTTGTATTGTGCCAAGGTTTTTGACCTTTCAACTTGTGTTAAATGCTAACATAATGTGGTCATTTTTACCACAGTGTACTAATCCAGGATGCTGTTATAGGAAAAAAAATTTATTCAGATATTGGGCTCAGTAAAAGAGCTTATATTTTCTGTTCAGGCTTAGTCATTCAGCTTACATTTAAATTCCTGCATTAGTAAAGGAAGGATGAATATCATTTTGAAATGAATTTTAACTTCCAAAATATGAATGTTAGGATATCATAAAAATATTAGATTAAGAAGAATAGTTCAACAGAGGCGCATAATATACTGTACATTAAATCGGCATTTGTTTTGGCTCCAGTTTAAGTGGTGTGAAACTATTGGTTTTTAGATTGGTGATAATTCCGCCAGTGGGCAACACACTAGTTAATAGCAGTAGTAAAATACGCCAAATAGTAACCACAAACCAAAAATGAAACTAGGAAAGTGGGAGTGTCATTTCAAGCCACGGCCGCATCGTTTCCATGACTTATTTAACTGTTAATGACGGAAAACTAAAAATACCGCGTTATTTCACTTTAACAGAAATGACTAATCAGAAATAAAACTACTTTTCAATTATACATATTTTAGTAATTCGGAATTGAGTTATAGAAAACCAAATTGGCCTGGCGTGTGTGGAAAGTTAAACCAATTTATACTAAATGCTTTTCTATCAAAAAATGTTTGAAATAATAGGCGGATAAAACCAATTGGTAGATATACATGTCATAAAATTAGTAGTAATACTAACCGTGCAATAATATGCGGACAAGACAAGACAGTGCTTTTTCAATTTCTTAAATATGCGTTTGATTAACCAATATAACTTGCTCAACTAACTTGATAACTAAACCGCCATTTTCCTGATGGCATTGTTTATGTATATATACATATATGATGGGCATCGTTTCATCTATGCTAATACTTACTAATCCAGCATTATTTTGTTATTAATATTTGTACATATTTATATAATAATATTATAATTTGACTTCAAAAGTTCACTGAAAGTATTCAAATTAACTCTTCTTGCACGAAATATTATCCTAAAATATGTCCGACTGATCGCATGCCAAAAAACGACAAACTTCAGTATTTGATGTCATCGCGACATTATGTTATCTTATGCTGCGAATATCAAATTCGTCTTCGATTGTAATATTATTCGTCAATCATATTCAAGATTCATAAAGCGACGTTTGTGTAAATGCGTGTTTACTACTAGTCGATAATTTGTTATTGGGATGTAGTTGTGTTGTTTATTTACTTCTGTCCGCTTCGTCTTGAACCTGATACTGTGTCACCAATTACTTCATTCCACTAAAATTTCGTGGCTCATAGCATTAGTATGTGGCTAATTTATTCCGCCTATACAGACTACGACCCCTAATACCTTATTGAAACTTGATTTTATTTTGCTGTTTATGCTTAATACATTAATATTCTAATGCGTTAACGTTGAAATCCCCAGTGAATTGTACGGAATTTTCAGCTTTCCTAGGTAAACGTCCTCTTGGGAGAATTTCAGTTCTTAATTCGGGTTTGCGACGTCTGGTTTTCGATCGAAGGAGCGTAATTGAGTTTATTAATATTTTGTCGAAAACATTTGCGAGGAACCCGTGGCGTATTGCCTGACGTACAATCGCCATTACTTGTGTTTACTTGTGGCACTGTACATTTCTGAGGTGATTTTGCCTTGGGAGATATGGTAGTGCGTCATAATACGTGTCATTAATACTGACGTACAGGCCGAAATCGAAGTCGACCGATTGCAATTTTTCTGAAAACAGGCATATCGAATTGAGCGATTGTCGCAAACGGAAAAGTCATCTCTTCTTTTGTGTTCTGACGTAACTTTAAATTGCCTTGTCGATTTGAAAGTAATAAACACTTTCTCAGCGCTGAAATAAATTTACATACACAATACTTAATTCGTTGAAAACCGTACAAAAAACATCGTATTACAGCGTCATAGTTATATTTTTCAGCCGTTCACAACAGATCACTTTTTTTCTGTGGTACCGGTTGCGCTCAGAGGAGTCGGTGACATTCAAGTTTACGATAGAGGTGCTATTTTCACGGGTAATTGCTGCTCGATCAAATCCAAATTTGGATAACCTATCGGAAGCTTGCATGTGTAATGTCGCTAAAAGCTCTCAATTGATTTAACATTTGTCGAATTGATTGCATACACAACCAGTGTAGCGATGAGTGTTGAGCATGTTGTTAATTATCGTAGGTCGATCGCGTTCAAAGAAAAAGTAAGTTAGAGAGAGCGGTTATCATATCTTTCGCTAAACCAATTTGTGAACATCAATTATTTCGATATTTACATCACGCAGGACAAGTTGCTCGTTGAGTACAGTAACAGTTATTGTATAATATGATGTGCACAGCAGATAAATAGGTGGATGATATTTATAGATATAACTCCCATTTGGTTTTTGATTTATGAAAATACGATAAATAACGGAAGTTGTGTTATGTTCGTAATTTGATCTTCGAAAAGTTAAAGACTGGACTATATTGATGATAGAAAAGTGAATGGTCGTCTGTTTACATTCGGTTTCGTAAATAAAATTAGATTAATTTAGTATGCAGGTCCCTAAGGTTTAGCGAGTCTTTTTTAATGACAGAATTATACGGCGACAATAAAAGTATTCTGCATTATTTATGGTCATCCGAGAATGCTTCAAAACTTTCAAAATGAGGCTTCTATGAATAGAAAAAATATTAAGAATTAAGTTAGATGTATTTTTGTAAGATAGCATACTGGTGAGAATTTCCCACTGGGCATGACTAATTTCGTATCCCGGCTACCTTTATACCAGTTCGAAACTAGTATAGTCAAATAGGTAGGACCTAGCGGAATATCATAGTTTTCGCTATGTCCAATCTTTGAGATTTTTCAAATCCTTAGGGACAGTTACGCATACTTGGTACATATACCTACTATTACAGAAGCAAAGTTCGTCTTTCATCAGGCTATGTATCAAATCTTCAATGTAGATTTACTCATGGATCATGTCAGACGAACGCTTGCCCAACAAGAATTTCAAGACGCATCTCCGATTATACGCAGACAGCTGCATAATGTCGGTTATATGCTTTTTGTCTAGTTGACATGTATCGATGCCAATTTACCGATGACCTTTATGTAATCGCCAACAGGATATTGTTGAAACGTAGTAGACGACTGGAGAAAGTATGCCTATTTCTGCCTGACGATTATGCGACTGTCATTTGGGACAATTCTTGTTTTATAAAACAGCTTCATGGTCTGAAATTAGTTTATATTTGTTTGTAAACTCGCATGGACAGTGCAAGCAAGACAAGGTATTGCATATAGACAGATGCTAACTACCGACTAGGTACTGCTATAAAAAATGGGAGAAATGAGTTACCTTCGCAGATTTTGATGCATGCTATTCAATATGAATTTGGAAGATTTGATTCACAACTTTCGTATTAATTAAAATAAGTTCAGCCTGAAGCGATCTTCAAATCGTAATTCCCGGGATTTCGTATTGTCGAAATTACTAATTCAACTATGAATGTTTATCTTGCTCGAAGACACATATAGTTAATAAATGTGGTGGATGATAATAAACTTAAAATATTCAAAACAGAAAAATAGTTGGGAGGATTCCCAATTTTGGAGGATATTCGAACTGAGGTATATCAGTTCGAATGTGGTTGATTCTTATATCGTTCAAGGTTAATTCTGCGTTAAATCTTCGAATTTGGATGTCCAACACTATTGCTCTTGTGGCAATAAATAGAATAAAATAATGAATTGAAATTATAATCAGAGGAAATTCATTAGATACAATAATGTTTGTTTTGATATAATTTATAACATAGTTAGGTTAGAGGTCGTTTATGACTAATCTCATTTCTCATTATGTTTCAATTAAACCTAACTGTGCACCTACAAAGCCCCCGAACCTCGTTACTAATAAATAAACCATTTGGTGCAAAGGTCTTGTCGAAGCTTATAATTTTATTGCATTCAATTTGCCTACTTTAGGTTAAAACTCTCATTTATCCCTCAAAAAATGAGTCCAAAAACAAATTTATTACAGCTAATAAAAAGTGGTTTATTATATTTAGGTTAGAAGATATCTCATCATTTATTTCTGTCATTCGTGACAAAGAAGTTTTTCTTGATCACTGTTGGGAAATATATTTTACCTTACATTTTTAAAATTTACTTTTTATGTCGACCCAGATTAAATATAAAGAATTATACATATGTGTCTGAAAATTTTTTTGAAGCATAGACTTTTACATTTATGAATATGACTGTCGAAAACGACACATGTTCGTTAACAAATGGAATATGCCCGGGCGGCAATGAAGTCCTTATGGATTTAAATTTATTTTATATACGACAGATTGGTGCCAGCTTGAAAAAGGTACGTATGATATGGATAATCGGTCTGATCCCCTTCGCGTATTAAATAAAAAATCAATTAGGTATTATTTCAATTCTTAGAAAAATCACTACGCGGTTTGGTCACACATTTTCATCATAGATTTGTTGTGTGTACTTTGTGCAAATTTTATCAAAGCGCAACCAGACAGGTTTTATTTAATATTTGAATTTCGACACGAAATTTGTCGTGGGTCGCAGTATACGATGTAGTATGTGTTATGTGACTGTTGAGAAGTTCATAACGTCATTGAATAGACGTTCAAAAAGTAAAATGCTTTTATATACAAAGGCTAAACAAATCAGTAACAACTGGTTTTCAAGTTGTTTTATAGTTCATATCAAACAAGTATTTTAGATTTGGTCATATTTGATATTTCGGCCTTATTAGTATACAGCACGGTAATTAATAAATAACACTTCATGACATTACGTTTTTTCGCACACTTGTATTTCGGCATATAAGAAACTCAATCAATAGCATAAGATGATGTAACTTTATTTACAAGCGATTGTGACATCATAGACTTAAGCTTACACGGAAATGCAATTACCTAACCAATTACGTTTCATAATAACGACTCTCGGGTACATTTTAGATTAAAGGTGATACCCTGTGATATACTTGGCCCATACTAATTATATTTAGATAGCCTACTGCTACAAGTGGCCTAGAAATTTAACCATATTGCGTTCAAAAAAATTCTTTCATCTGTCGCGCGCGTTAAAATTGTAAATCTTGTTATTCCAACATAATGAACATGGCAAAACCGCGAAGAGAAATAGAATTCCCGAATGGTTTCATCTCGGGTGGCCAACAGGACTATTTAACTCCGTAAACGAAAAACATGTCTATATTCAGTATTAATATTATGTTAATGATCTCGGTTATCGCAGTCATGTCCATTGAACTTAACAATAAAGCTTAACTTAATATCGCTGAGTATTGGGCTATTTATCGTATTTCAGATTTAATATCAAAAACTTGTGATTACATTTTTATTGAAAAACTTGTGATTACATTTTTATTGAAAAACTTGTGATTACATTTTTATTGAAAAACTTGTGATTACATTTTTATTGCTCGTCCATTTGGACGACCTTGTGTGACAAATAGGCACCTCGGGTCTGGGCCGTATTTTAATTGGATAGCGCGCTCTTGATGATCGCAAAACTAATTTGTCATGTCTTGCGTTTTAAATGTGTCACAAGTTCGTCAAGGGCAACCAAATATTTGTCTCCGTTGAGTTTTTACCTTTTACGCAAAGTCAAAAACATACGACCGATATTTCGTTTATCTCCGATGACCCGCTCCATTTATGGCTTTATTTACGTCGCATCTTAGCGCTACTTAATGCCGATAATTGATTTTTTGTTCACTTGGTCGGTAAAGCGAAACGACTTCTTTATTTGGTATGGTAATGCGCAGATATTGAAACGAATCATTTTAACCATTTTTAAAAATGATTTGCAACTGCGATTAAAAAATTGCCCAATCGAAAGTTCGCTATTGATCTTTTTTTTTTAATTCTCAACTACCCATACAGTCGACATTTTAACGTTTAACGCTAGCTACTATTGTGAATCTTATGGGGTCGGAGGACATTCAGCATCGAAAAAATGGTTTGCTTTTTTAGTTTTTGCAAATAAATAAGACTTTTGTTTATCGTGGTTAAAAGTATGAAATCCCGACCCCAGGGAAATCAAAATTTGGATTCCGACTCCGGGTAGTTGGAAAATACGACTCCCGACTCCACAGCCCTGGTTTTACTTCACTACGAATAAAATGAGAATACTGTATCACATATTGAATTATCAGACATTTCATATGGATATTTGTTGTACTCGTTTTTTTGTGATGGGAATCTCGAGACGAAACTCCCCATTTTTTAATTTGATGCCAGATTTCAATAAGATTTTTATGTTCCTTTTTTTCTAACGCCAACAAATTTGTACGTATGATGTATGAACATAGGCAAAAGACGGAAGGAACTTGTGGCAGAACAGTTCTCCATCGTTGACCCTTATTCGGCATAATATATACAGAAAATGACATTGCTATGACCGGAACGCAACTGATTGAATCCAAAAAATCAATATCTCTATAATAACACCTCATCAAAATTTTACGCACCTTCAAATTAACACTTGGAGGGAATGTGTTAAAATAACAACGCACAGTGAAACCAGTAATCCTGGAAGATACTTATCACAATTTGGACGTTCAATTGGTGGGAATTAGTTACAAGTGTTTGCCCAGATTTCGTTTTAGTTTAATCCATTTATATGTTATTATGATGAAGTTATTTTTAGATGATTTGCTAATGACAAAATATGTCGTCATTGGTATTATACTAGGCATATAAAATTGAAATATTTACAATTTTTATTTGAACGCTGCTACCTGGAAAAATTTAATTAAATGCTTGGAAAAGGCTTGTGAGGTTTTTCAATCATAATTAGATTATTTGGGCCCATTTATTTTACCGCAAAAGTATTTTATTCAAGCGATCAAAATATTATTGCCGTATCCCATATCATTGTGAGTAAATTTTTCGATATTGTTCCAAATGTCCTATACAGCACGCGATATTTTAAAACTGAAGGCAATCACGTGGTGTCAACCTTTACAAATGTACAAGATTTACTTGCATTCAATAGTAATTAGCATCCATGAATTTCTCTTATAGTGGATTTTACTTTGTTTATTATAATGACCTGATTGCACAACCACAAGAACATTTGTTGTTTGATTCGCGTCCAACGAAATCGCGTGACCGGTGTGCAGAACGGTAATACATCAATTATTTAAGGTTGTTTTGACGAGTATTTCGCGGCACAAATGTAATTTATTTCGCCACATTGACGCGGAACTTGAAATATTGCGGTCGAAGTCTTCTTGAAGAAAACAATGGACAACCGATAGAAATGTGCAAATCGGAAATAGTTGTGACACTTCGTGGCGAGCGATCGAAACGTTATTCATATACCAATGCCAAATTTTAGAGTCATGTGATTATGTACACGTATTAGAAATCATGATTCATTTTTTTTTCGTCCATCAATACTGATAAGATCAGAGTTGGTTGAACCAGGGCGTACCAGGGCTGGGCGGTTCTGAAATTTATAATGGCCAAGTTGGACCGTAACAGCTAGCGGGTCCGGTCGGAGGCCGGAAGAGTGGAATTTTAAGAGTCAAGACTCAGAGCATCTGAAAATACAGAAAAATGTTGTTTTCATACGTTCAAAAGAATGTAAGAAGGCCCCAATCCCCTGGCTACGCTCCTGAGTTTGAGCCAAAGATTCCCATCCCACTAAACCCTTCTATGCTTTGATTCTTTATATAATATAAATATTAATATATTGGATATATATAAAATAGTAATGAAATTACTCTGTTTTTATATCTCAAATTAGTTCAATATAAACCAATAATAAGAACTGGATTCACACTGTACAATGCACAAATATATTCCACCAAGGCTTTTAATAACATCAAAATGCCACTCAACAATAAACGGTTGCCGCTTTTTGGCCGTATGTACAGATTACAATATTGTCCTCCAATAATAAAATTCCTCGCTGAGTAGGAAAACGCTGATCCAAGATAAGATATTGAATATGATTTATGTTGTGTATTTGTTTTGAACATCCCTAATTACAATACTTCATTATTTTCTCACAGCATGTTGGAATCCAGGACAAGTTGGAGAAAGAAATTAAACTCAGAGATGGAGCATCACGTATGTTGGCGGCATGTACTCACGAGGATCAACTGCTCGAAGTTGCAAAGACCTTGCACACGTCAAATGCAAGAATGTATTCATACATGGCCGAACTTCAAAAATTAAAAACTGCTGAAATTATGGAAAGAGTGATGGATGATGAAGGGTGATTAATCATATAATATTATCCAACAAACAGTTCTAGAAAATAAACTTTGCAAATTGCAATCAGGTTATTTCAATATGAATATGAATATTCTAAATAGATCTACATTATCTTAGTGCGTGTCTTTCAATGGTGATTTTGTAAGTTTTGACTTTAACGTTTGATATTTGATTTATTGATGCATATACTATTATTATTGACAAAATACAATGTTTATCTTATGTTAAATGCTTTGAAACCAATTTAGTTTTCAGTCGAACTAAATAGTTTCCACATCTTTACTCATATTGTGCATATCTGAGACCTCATCTGAATAGTGTGCTGATCTGAACTTCATTTTCCACCTTTTTTTATGGATACTGTACTTTTATTTGTGTAATCGTGTTGTGACATGATCATGTAATCCGCATTTTCAAAAGATTTCAAACATCATGTCATGTAGACTGAGCAATATGGTGGAAAATGCACATCTCAACGTATCTCCTATATTGTGAGATCAGGAAATCTTGTTTGTTATGTTTGTCTAATCATTGGATACAGAACATTTTCAAAATTTCATACCCAATCCTTTAATGCTGTTTATTTTGCAGAATTCAAAATGAATCGAAAGTATGTTCAGGCAGAGTGGCTATCTCTGACATTAGAATCCCATTGATGTGGAATGATCCTGAAAGATACATAGGAGCTAAAGTGAAAGGTTAGTTCAAAATTTTCCGTTTTCAAAATGCGTTCAATGTGCAGAGTTGCTTCGACTACAGGCTCTTGCTTGGCTAATGAAGAAGTAAAATTGTCTCATTATTGAACACGGAATGCCACTCTGTGTTTTATGTCTCACAACCTTGATGTATGAGAATGAATAATTGGACGAAGCTGTATCCGATCAAATATTTCAAGAATTTCCCAGAACTGATTCTACAACAATCTAACTTACAAACCATATACATGGTGGTTAGCAGCATAGTGGCAATAAGGTTTATTGGCACAAGCCAATCTTGAAGTCAAATCTTCATGTTCCTGTGTGAAATTCTTCCCACCACTTCAAACAGATAAATGATATAAATAAATATATTTGTTTTTCAGAGGCCAGTAGATATGCTGTATTTTGTTTGGTTCATGTTGGAGGGGAAGTACAAGATACTGAACTTGTATGCACAGATAAAACAACTACTGATGTTGGATTTAGAGATGTTCTTGTATTGTAAGTATAGCATACTTTACATTACTTGGTAAAGTTGATTTGAAGCAGGTTTTTGCTCACTGCTGTTAATGCTAAATTCACTAAAACAACATTAACTTTAATATACCCTCTAGATCCGAATGAATCAATAGTTCATATGTCATATTGAGCAAATTGAATAGAGAATCAATTGAATCCTTGTTTATCTGAACTAAATTAATATATTGGTCTTTGTTAAACATGTCACAATATAGAATATACTTGATATTTGAAAACAGTATACTTGAATGCATTTGAAATAGTTAAGAATTTCTGTTTTTCCATCCCTGACTTTAACCAAAGACTCGCAGCATATCTATCTAAACAAGAGTGTGACTCTACACTATTAGATTTTGGTTATGAAACAATACATTTTTATATCATTACTTTATATTTGCTGAAACATTTCCCTTTTTCTATTACAGTGAGGAAACTGCTCACAACTTTAAAATGGAAATTGAAATTCATGCTTTTCCGATGTCTGAAGGTTCAATATCTGCACCCACTCCACAGAAGTTGTTGGCAAGATTAAATAGGTCTATCGGTAAATCAGAAGGAAAAAGAATAAGAGATAGATTGGTGAGTGGCATATCTGATTTTTAGTTGTTATTTTCGCTTGTCACCAATCACTAATTTTTATCTTTTTTTTTCCATTTCAGAAGGAAAGCCCATCTGCCAATATGAACATGTAAGTGATCAGATTTTTAAATCTCATAATTCAAATGTAAAATTTCATTCATTATTATTTCATCTATATTATATAATGAGTAAATAGGTAAATTAATGATTTCCAAAGAGACAATATTGTCCTGAGGAGCTTTTTTTTCTTGATAAAGCATTATTTTTATTATATTTGATCATCACTTTTGTTCTGCATTCTGAAAACCAGTACAATCTACTCTCATATTTGCTGATAGCATCATAGATAGCTTTACATCTCATTTTTCTGTCTTATATTCTCAAATTTTTCATCTGAAACAATTTTTTATTAATCACAATACTCTAATTCAGGGGTCCTCAATATGAAAAACTTGGAAAATTAGCGTTAGATCTCACATCAGTTGATGACCATATCAGATCACATGATATAACAAGAGTTGCTCCAACAGCAAATAATTCAGGAAGGTAACTTGCATATTTACATCAAGTCGATTCATAGATGCTTATACAGTGCTTGAGAGCTGGTTTGAAAATCAATGGCTCCAGCTCCGGATCCCCATTGAGGGGCTCCATCTATTACGGTAAGCTTAGTTCTAGCCCCAACAGAACTTTAGGCTCTGGCTGCTCATCCGTATCTGATATGCTGCTATATACTTCCTGGTTCACTTTGAAGTTCAGTCAGGAATGAACACTGAAATGTTAAAAAGTTCTTAAATTTATCTCAAGTTAAAAACTGAAAAAGACAATATTTTCTTGTTTATAGATCAAAACCACTTTTACCATTATATGGCAGTTTAACATGCAGACTTGTTGCACAACCAAAATGTATCACGGAGAAAAGTATCACAGGATTTTTGCACTATATGGTAAGTACATTTATTTATGGATAGAAAAGTGTAATTTTCTTTGCTATATAGGAGGATGGTGTGTAATATACTTTAAGTGCAGATTAAAAGTGTGTACCATTCTCAAAAAGTCAACAAGCCCAATTTCCACCTACCTTCCTTTTTTCTTTATTTTCTGTAGTTTGAGCTTTCTCATGCTTGCGTTTGCTTTTACTATTCGAATTACCAAGCATAATATTTGTTTGTTCTTATTAGGAAGTTGGTCATGGTATGCCATGTTGGTCATATATGTGGTGTGAAGTGAGAGCTGGTAAACTACAATGTTGGTTAAATCCTGAAGATGTTGCGGAGAAAACTCCTCAGAATTCAATCAATCTGATTGCATCGGTAAGGTTACAAACTTTGAGATTTTTTGTGATTCTGCCATGTTGATATTTTTATTCTAGCCATGTTGAATTTTTTATATTATAATTTAATCTTATTCCTTGAATTTGTTTACCGGTATGTTAAACCACAAACGCCAATCGGTGCATTTAAGTTACAAGGTGGTTATATTCTAATTGATGAGCAGCCTGATTAGTTGAGTTTTAGCAAATTGAATTCATACTGCATGTTGAGTTTTACTGACTGACTTGGAGTAAATTTAACCCTCTTTGGGCTGGGGGTATACATGGCCACTGTACACAATTGGGTACTCCTGGAGTGTGTGTACCAGGTTAGGATTATGCCATAGTTTTATTCCTATTTCCTTATTTTGGTTCTATTACGAGTTTGGGGCTGTTTGTGTTAGCCAAGTGAATACACCCTATGCTCATAGGTTTCAGTCCCTTTACACAACTTGATGTAAATAGGCAAACAAAATTAGTTACCTCCACATTGGTACACACACGTCTGGACCGCCCACAATTGTAGTGGTAAATTGATTTAAATTTCACTTACTCTAAATTTGCCATGAGTTAAACAATAGGATAAAGACTCCTCGAAAGTTTTACTATTAAAAGTTAATTTGACAGGATATAAAAATTAATGAAATTGAGAAGAATCGACAGAAGAGACCGAATAGTTTTCAAGTTCGTGATCTGGTTGATCGACATATTTTTTCATCCAGTTGTAAAGATGACATGACCAAATGGATCAAGTAAGTCTGTAACAAATTAAAACGATGGGCACATTATCATTAACAGGTGTACGAAAGCCATACAGAAAGCTAATAGTCTGAAGTTATTCAAGATGTTTTATTATTGCCATTGTCTGATGAAATCGGAATGCTAGAAGGCTATTACTTTTATTGCGGTAGGGCCCAGTAGGCCTATGTCTTCCCAAATTTTACTAGTATATGTAATTCAAGAACACACCTTGGTGCAACTTTCATTTGCCGGGAATTTTGCTTCCTATACTGTGGCAATATTAGACATTCGACCAGCAATCCTATGCTCTCTTGCTTCTTGATGGCGTTATTAATTTCATGGTAACCTGTCAAATATTTAGAAATCTGCGGCAACACAGATCTGATTATGCGGCCTGGAGTATTGCCTGTGTACGTGAGAAAGATGGATCTGCTCCTATGTATATTGCATCACCTTCACCTTACAAATCACCATCTCATATGTTGTTCGATGCATCTGTCAGAAAAACATTGATCTATGAGCAAATGAGTGAGTAGAAGTGGAAAATGGTCTAAATTCTATTTTTCTTGGATCATGTTAAAAGTTGAATCAATTTTCTTTTGGTATTGTATTAGGAATTTCAGCATTAAAAACAACATATTGTTGGTAACTCGCTAACTACTCTGGTAAAGAGGTGCTAGAAGCTATGTGGAGAGGAGGGTCCCACCTACAGAAATTAAAAATGGCACATCAGCGATTATACCTATCTGTGCAGTGTGCATATAACTGTTTTATCCCATAAATGCTGTTTGCCCAATGCCCATATCCATTATGTCTGGGTAGGTTTTTTTCATTATCACTGTCACAAACTATTGGGCTCAAGCCTAGTGTGAGTGGAGCAAGTTTTCTCCACATCTTAAGCCAAATTATGCAGAAAAGTTGCAAGAGAACATTTACTATAATTTGTAACAAAGTCTATAAAAATGTATGTCTTATCTATTGGAGTTGTAAACAGGGCTTCGGAAGCTGGTTTGAAATCATACTGGCTCTGGTATCAGCTCTAGAGCTTCATTTTCAGCTTGGAGCTTGGTTCCAGGCTTCGGCTCCCCAACCCGAGTTGTAAAACCCTTCTCTACCTCAACTAAACTACTGATGAAACTAAAATATTAGAATATAAAAATATCTTCTGTAGCTATCATCACCTCTAATTCAGGTTTGAATTCAAATATTTTCCTTTAAGATCTACATTTTCACTTTATCAGGTATTGAATCTCCAACAAGCCCAGATTTTGGAACAGTTGCAGTCAGTGACATGTTACAGAAAGCTGATAACACTCAATCCGACTCTGTGGGAGTGGCTATGGTTGAAGCCAACCAATCAACACCTTGGGCAGGCTTGTTCAGTGGAGCGATCAATCGTTCTGTGATGAGAGTGACAAAACTAAAAGATGTTCAAAACATTGAATTTTCGAATCCACAACCTGCTAAAAAATCATCAAGATTGAGAACAAAAAGCTATGAAGATAATATAAGCACAAGGTATTTATTTTATTTATGTTGTTGACTTTTTATTTAATTCATTTTTTAAAAACATGCTTATTGTGGATATTATTTCTAATTTGGATAAAGAAATGCAGTAAGTTTATATTTTACATCATTTACAGATCAGGCAGTGGTTCTAGTAGTTCTTCCAAGAACAAGAAAGATCGTCAGAAGCCACCTATTCCGCAACATAGATCTTTTGAAGATATGAATGTCGTGAAGCTTCGTGTTAAATCTCCAGTAAGTTGTAAATGGCAGTTTTGATTTATGAGTTAGAAAATTTCATTTAGAGAGAAGAAAATATCTATCAGAACCTGTATATATATATTATTTACTTTACCTAGTAACTGATTTTAAATTTTATTGTGATGGCAGGGCTACATTTCCCATGTTTAAACATACAACAGCAAATCATTTTAGTGTTTTCAGCATTGCTATGAGTCGAAGATTGGCATGGTTTTACCTGAGTCGGAGGGCGAGAATCATATTGTCAAACTCCGAAATTCTGAACCACAGTCTCCACAGTCAGTATTTCGGACTCTTAATTATAAAATGAAAGAACTCAAATTTTTTCACATTAATTCAAAATGCATCGAGGTTACCAAGTGTTTATAACACTAATAGTCTATTAAAAAAAGCTTGCATGCATGAAAGTTTTTGTTACCGAAATTTGATCGGAATTTTCTACATTCCAGAGTCAAAATCTAAATATTTCTTAAAATTGTATTTCAATCTAAATTTCGAGTCGATGGTTAATTTTTTTCCTAATCCTCAGCTCTGGTTTTCAAAGTCACAGGTAGTTTGAAGACCTATGGATACACTGGATAGAAAAAAAAAACTAAAAAAATATTCACCCATATTTGTGTAATTTAAATTTGTAAAAATAATTTTCATTGCAGGCACCCACAAAACCTGCTCCAAAAATTGAAGATTTGAAGAGTTTTAATTCTGAATCTTGTTCTGAAACTGGCTTGAGTGATTTTTGTCAAAGTTCTGATGACGTCTTTCTATCTTCTGATGAAAATATTCTCAATTCACCCACAAGAAGAAAAAAATCACCACAAAATCAAACGCCAAATAGTAAAACTAAAGGAAGAAAGAAAAGAAGAGCTCCTCAACCACCCTCGTCAGCTACTCAACTTCAAGCAGAAGTAAGAAATAGAAATTGTTTGGTTTTATATTCTATTTATTTAGATTTATGCAGCTGTCCACACTTAGATATTTACATGCAAATGAATTGTTTCTGTCAGAGCCGTACTTAAATCGTAGCTATTTGAAAATTCTTAAACATTTGAAATGTGGAATCAGTAAGTTGTATGAATGCTGTTAAAGGCTAGGTATGAAATATTTTACTGAGTTTTTAAAAGTAAAAACCTATCTATGCCTATTTATATAATTATTTCATTAAAACGAATTTGCCCGAAATTTCCATTTGTGAATAGTGTTAGGATTAATTAGAAATATTCTAAATGTTTTCATGATCATATTGACTTGAACTGTGTCAAGTACCTCATCAATCTGTATTTCTATCGGGTTGTTCTGTCCTATAATTCTTTATAGTGTCAGGGACTGACTACTGGCGTTCCATTAGTTGCACACTAACTTCTGAGTGTTTCTTTATTTCTGAGTAGGTCTGAGTAACCTTGCTTCGAGCAAATTTCAATAAAAAATGTATTTTGCAATAAAGTCATGTTCTCACAGTAAAAAGGTGTGTTCTTCCAGAAGAAAAAAAACAATCTCAAATATTTGATACAATAACAAACTTTTTCGAATAACATGATTCCAATTTTTGATTAAATGGAAATCTTTGACCATTATTATAGCAACAAAAAAATTAACTTTTTATATCATTTACAGACTGATCATCGTTCAATGAACTTGCGATCAAGAAGCAAAGCAAGTTTATCATCTGCATCATCTTTGGATGACATACTGGAAAACGACTCTAGAAAAACAACACAGCATAATTCAACAGATTCATTTTATCATCATTTCCCACAACCTTCACCAAGACTACAAAGACTAAACGATATTTATTCGCAAAATTCTGATCCAGAAGGAAGAAACAGTCAACTCAGTTTGATATCTAATAGTACTCAGTTCTCAACTACGTCATCAGGTATGTAGAAGTAATATTGCGTATTGATAATAAAATCAAACTATGGCTGCGAAGTCAGGACTCCACAGACTCTCCAAGCCATTTCGATAACTTCTTATGCCAGGAATATGCACTTCTTAACTGAAAATTTCAGGATAAGCAATACAATGAATTAACTGAACTGGAGTGATTTATTTTTCAATATTATCAATTTATTAGTGGAGGAATAAGAATTTTGCTGAGGCATATTGTTTGAACATGAACTGATAACAAAAAGGTTCAGTATAATCAAATTTTCTGCATCCAACTAAGTATTTGATTCGATCTATCTTTTATTCACATGTATATTTTTTTAGGTTACAAATCTGATTCAGAAGGACTCGTGACAACTTCATCTCGAGACATAATTTCTTCAAAGCAACGAGCAAGATATGAAGTCGATGTTTGTGAACAACAGGTCAAAACAAACCCCATTAAAAAGACAGGTGTGAAAGTTTTACCCACGAATGTACCATTGGGTATCAAACTGACCCCACACAAATTTTCGAGAAGCCATTCATGGGACGCTGAAGCAGTTTTACATTCCTCTGATGAAGCAACAAGGCTAAGGTATAGTTCCACACCTTCATCAAGTCGAAATGGGATTTCCAGTAAACCACCACCGCTTCCAAAACCTAATTCAGTGCCAAGAAAACAAACGAGTAAAAACGACAAACTCGTTATGCAAATGTTGTCATCAAAAACACTAGAAAGTCCAACTGGTTTGAGACCACCGTTTCCAAGACCAATTCCGGCTCCAAGACGCTCGTATTTAACTGCAGTTGAATCAAGTAAAGTGGCTACTAAGGCTACAAGTTTAAGCGATATTCCTGGTTCTCCAGCAATACGGAACAACACACAAGACAATGATTCAGACTATGCGGAAGTGGATGACATAATATATGCAGTTCCAATACCAAAAGAGCTTCGCTCCGTTAATAATAACAACGCCGTCCATTTGAAGGAAGAACCTGTCTATGCAGAAGTCGATAAAAGTAAGAAAATTAAAAATCGTGCAGCATGCAAGAATACGAATGAAAAATCACGAAAGATTGGTGTTGACGCATACACGAAAGCCCACAAAGCTATCATAACAGTATGTAAACAACGTATGGAAGAACAAGAAAAAATAGAGAGAAAACATAGCAGATCTGATGAAGAGACTGTTTATGTTTAAAAATATTGGAAGTCTGGTTGGAGTTCGAAATATTCTCACATCATAAAATAGGACTTTAACCTTTGTGGTCACCAAGCATTATTTGGGAATTGGTCGAAAAATAGAGTTTACATTTTTAGACTCTCTCAATTCAGATTCATATTATGTCCTTGAACAGGGCAGAGATGAGGAGTAGTCAAAAAATAGATCTCAGAAGGTGAAAGTGAATTAAACCCCTTCTTTGGATATACATAAGCTTATTATGACGCTCGCTGTGATTTTTACTTTATGTCAACTGCTCAGTCGCTTTAGATAATAGTTACTATTGTGAATTTTGTATACATAATATCAGTAAATACAATTAGATTTCGTAAATGCAAAATGTTTAATGTAGTTTGATATGGATTCTTGACTATTGAAGTTAGTGTTTGTTTTGTGTAAGATTAGTTTCTACCCAAATACTGATTTTTGTTTTTAAAAAATAATCTTTTTATTGACTGGCTTTTATTTTTCATCGATACAAGCCTCCTAACATGCTTATATTGAACCATGAGGGCTTTATGAAAGCTGAAAAAAAAGTTTGATTTGAGATTAACTCCGAGAAGCAACCAAAAAAAATTTGACAATAAACTAGAAAGTTCTAAAACACAACCCAGGTTGAGACTCAATTTCAAAACATCTTTGTTTAAAAACTCTCACTATATTGAGGGTGCGGATTTTTAGATTCTTCCAATTATTTTGTATGATAGTTCCACGATTTATTTCTTTTTATTAATCATGCTTTTGATAGAGCAAACGTATAATTTCACTTGTGTCTTAAATGTTTTAATTATATATAAGGGTGATTGTTGTGCTGTCTTATTTAACAATTTTATAATAATAAAATGAATGTATTTCGTAATTTCATATTTACCTAATTTTTTTTTAATCATTTTGAAATTCATCATGTTTTATAACAATTTGAAAGAGACAACATTGATGTCTCAGATTGATGTAAGCAGACTTTGTTTTCATGTTTGAAAACATATTTTTTACAAACAAATTAACGTAGTACTCTGCTATTGCCATATGTCTAATGTGTTTTAGAGAATCAAACTAGACTTACAAATTGTTTAGGATTGTAACCGGGACTGTGGAGTTGTGGTTTGTCGTGTATTCACTGTAGCCACGATTGTATTTTCAAACTGCCCTGATTCCAGTTGGACTTTCCTATGGTGACAACTGACAATAGAATTCAAAATTTTCTACCAAAACTCAAAAAAGCAAAACCATTAAGTTCACTAAGCGCTTTTAACAGTCTATTGAAGAAGCCTTGCACATGCCAAAGTTTTTTTCAGTCATTATGAGTCTAAATCTTTTATAACCTAGTGTTGGGAGTCTAATTTTTCTCAACCCAGATTCGATCATATATTTTCCTCAACTCCACAGCCCTGGTTATGACAGATTGGTCTATCTATTCGAATTTCCAAAATTTTAATGTGCTGTTATGTGACAAGGCATGGTGCGATTGCCGTGCTGCTTGAATGACAAGAAATAAATAGGGTTGTTCTGATCTGTAGAAGGAAGAACTGTTATATATCATCAATCATATTGTGTCAATGTTTTGCTTGCCACATAAATCTGCTTTTAGTTGCTGTGATAGTCTGTTGTGCAGCTTGCCACTGTTTTGTCTCACAATCAAAGCAATTTATTTCTTACCAATCATTTTCCTTCAGTGATTCATTATCATGGTTTTGTGGAATAAATTCATAGTAATAAATACATGTAGTTGTCTTATTTTTACCAATCCGGGAGGGGATGGTATGGGCGTGCTGTCAGAATGCCTGGATTAAATAATAGATCTTCACCCAGTATAATATTAGAATATACAGTATAAGTCAGACCATGCTCCCCACTTAACCAGCTTGCCAGTATAACAAACTATTTCTCAATAGCTGTGTCTCTGTCTGTCTGCTAGAAACTTTACCAAGTTAGTAAGTGTAACCAACTATATAATTTAGCAGCAACCAACACTTTGGCAAACAATCATCTTAAGAATATAGAGAAAAGTGCAATCACATGCTATAAAGCATTAAGGTGATAAATCAGTGTTATATCAGTAAGCGCTATCGACTGGGTTTCTGAGGAACGAACTACTTATCCTCTCTTCTATGCTCATGATCTGCCGAATTTTAATGAATGCTGTCGCAAATGTAAAGATAACTATTCTAAGTGAAATATGTTGAATTATGCATGTTTAAGGAAGTCTGACCTTGGTCAGATAAAACGATACAGATATATTTTTGTTGTGTTAGTGTGCAATAAAACTCTTGAATCACTTAGATGAATTACAGTGTTCCAACTCAAAATCAGGTAAACCCCTTCTGCAATCTACCTCAAGCAATGCGATTTTCTCGAAGTAAATTCCTTTGTCAGTCGAAAACTATTGCCCGCTGATGTACTATCATTAAACATGAAATTTTTGCATAAAAAGTGCATTTATTTTGTTGGAATTGATACGGCGGCACAAAAAAGGAACAGCAAAGAAAGCAATCAATACTCAGAAATGAAACAAACAAAAAATACTTTCAACGGCATTTCAATGAGAAAAAAATCAGCCATATCATAATGTAGCACAAAACACTTTCTTTTCAATGCTAAAAATAAAATAGGCTTGCTTCCCTTTCATTTAAAATACCATGGTGAACACTCACTTAAGTTTATATCAGATTAAGAAACAAATGTATGGCATACACACATAGTTAAGAGATACAGGTAGCATGTTTTAATCAAAGGCAGGAAATATAATATTTCTTGTCAAAATATTTTGTCTGAAGATGGCCTATGAATATCATCGTCATTTATTGTCAACGGCCAATGCTCCACTATTACTTGAGAAATAACCAAATTTTCTAACTGAAAATTAATGTGTATTATCTGCCCAGGCAAATACATGTGAACTCACCATGTAACAGAAATATAAAATGTCAAATACACCTTTATCATTGTCGACACAACAGTTATGGCATACAAAGAAAAATCATAAGAAAAAATTGAATACACTGTGTTGTATTACTAATATTTTGATGATGCTACATCCCTACAGATAGCTTCGGGTGCAAACATAATCATGTACACATAAAAATGTGTCAGACAAGGTAAAGGTGGTTATAAACAAAAACTACATATCATAAACAAAAAAAAAGCCTGTACAATATCTGAACTTCATTAAAAAATCATATCTGATCCACTATGTGCCATAATAAATGTACACTATACATAATAGGATAGCAGTACAAAATGTGAATCATATAAGACCAGGTATGATCATATATATAAATTCAGATGAAAGAGCAAAAGGATTGAGGAAATGGAAACACACAAATATACACAATACTACATTGAAAGCAAAAATCCAGATACCAGAAGAATAGCAAGATCTTTTCACACCAAAATTCAATTTGAAATTGATAACATTTAGCAGCCTGCAACTTATTGTGAGGTTTCTACTATCAAATATGCAGAATAACTACGTTGTTACAAATTTCAAATTAAAAAGGAAAAATAAAATATTTTTGTGATTTTGAGTTTTGTTGCCTTTTGATAAACTAAACATGCTGCAGAATTTTGTTTGGTTAATAAAACATTAGAAAACATGAGAAACGCTTGAAAACACTGAAAAACTACCTGTTTTGTGTATTTGAAAAAAAAGCAGAAGAATGAAATACAATAATAACTACATCAAGGGAAAGCATATTTTGTGAATTTAGATAACCGATATTCAAAGTATGTCAAATTTGGCATAACTTTCCTACAAAACAAATTCTGAATATCCAAAAATGTTGGTCTAAAAATGTTATTTAACACCAATACAATTGGATTCATTCTGTTTTAGCATTGTCCAAAGAAGAATATCTATATCAAACCAATAAGGAGTCATCTTAAAATTTTGAAGTACATTGGTTATATCATCATTGTGCTTAATATACAAAGAATTATTAGTGGCTGCAAAATTTGTCATGTTAGGAGTAACAGCAGCATTGGTTTTAGTAAGGATGAAATTTCCAATTCGTGCTTTTTTTAACTTATGTCACATTCGATCTATGATGTCCAAAAATTTCCTGAGAAAGAATTCTGGAATATTAACCACTGAAATTTACACACTGTTATTGAGTACATGCGAAACAAGTCATTGAAAAAAAATTCATTGCAATAATAAATGGCAATATCTTGTATTGAAACAGAAGAAACTTAGTTTTCAAATTTAATAGAATATGTTTTTGGAACAGTTGTGAAAACTTCAGTTCAAACCTATATCGTCTTTTACCTTATCATACTCAATCCAATTATACATGAAACAAGCTTGATGAAGTATAATCTCTCGAAGATAAAATTGCGATTGAGTAAAAAGTCTTGGTGAAGCACTCACATGGAATCAAATCAAAAATAAAAAATTGCAATAAATTTTCGCAATGTCGGTAGCAGCAGCACGCATGAAAAGTAAAAAAGGTCAACAAAACAGTGTTAAGTAAGTAAAAGTCGAAAAAAGTAGTGAAAGAAACTCATGACATCTTCACTCGTAAGATAATGATGTTTATTGTGGAGCAACAGCTTGACGAGGAACAAACTCAGCAGCGTTTGGATTCAGCATAGTCTAAGTAAAAATAAAAAAGTATTTTTAATAAGAATATGTGTTTTCAACTTTTAATAAAATGTGATTCAAATGTTATTTTGACATTGTTTTAATGATTATCCCATCATGTTTTACTTCACTGCTGATGATATATATTATAATTCAATTAAATTTTGATTATAAAAGATTGTTGCACAATTGCACTATAACCTAAATTAGAATTGTAATCAAAATATATTCACATCTTAGTATTTTAAAGTAGTAGTAATGGAAAGTAAATTGATGAACAAAAGAGAATTTCCCAAAATCAACTTTTGCACCCAAACTGTTTGCAGACAAGCATTAACAACCAATAAAAATTTATGCTCCTATTTGGGGCAAGTCTCCACAAAACATGAAATATAGTTCAATTGAAATCATACATTCATTTTTTGGACATTGACTTTATTAAACACCAAAAGCACGAATCATTAAGATTAAGATAGAGCATTCTATTTTAGTAGCATAAAATAAGGCTGCATATTCGCTTTGAAAATTCACATTTAATCCCAGCTACTTAGCCATAGGGATTTACCTTATATAAATTTGTAACTCCATAATGAAATATTTTGTAAAGACTTATTTTTTAACGATGTTAATTATTTGTTTGACAGTCGGATATTATACAAGAAAAAAAAAGAAAAATGATTGTGAATATTGTGAGACTCCCTAACAAATGGTGGTCTGATTAACGAAATACTGGTTACTGTGTTTATTTTCTCGTGACTGAATTTATTAATATATAGGCCTACATGTATTTTTGTCTATTTTTTCAACAAAATCACAAAATATAGCATTACAATACCGGATATTGTCTCATAAATATAACACTGACAGAATCTCTCCTTATATCCCAACTTAATTAAGATTTATTGATAACGTTTGGGTTATAGTCATTCGATTTATTGGATTCTGATTTAATATTTTTTAAATTAGATACCAGTTTAAAGCAAGGTGGCTCAACATTGAATTTTGTTATTCCATGCATCTAGGAAATAACCCCGCTAACTGAATTTTATCCATTCTGTTAGTTTAATTTGAGGAAGCAAAATAAATAATCAGAATATGCAAAATTTTCAATATTAAAACATCTAAATAGATCTGATGATGTCTTGAACAGTTGAACACAAAGGGTAATGTGTATGTTAGCTCATACTCATAAATTTCAACCAGATCTTTATCAAGGGTCATCGTATTATCTACATGTTAACTGCATGTGTCTTTATTAATTTATACCACCAGTATATCAATATACAACTGTCAAATATCGAGTTGGTGTCGAGTTGAAGATCAAATTCTATGAATAAATATTACACGAAAGTAACGAATCTTAAATGATTGCATAGTAATTTTCGATTATTTATATCTGTGTTTTGTCTTCCCGTAATACAACATATTTCATATTCAATAAGCCCACAACACATAATTGGTTTAGCAATTAGGGATTAGACCAGCACTACCCAAGATAATTCCTCTCCATGGGAGTCTTATTATTGTACTGAGGGATCATGAATATATGAGTGTTGAGTTTTATTCAATATAAAAAAAACTATGCAATGTTTCTTTCATAGGAATTTCGAATATTACAGTGATACCTCGGTAGTCGAACCACCTGATGCTTGAACAATTTGGTGGTCAACCAAAAGGGTGAGATGACGTCACCGAACCAGGCATCTCAGCTGCCGCTTGACCATGGAAACGGCAAAAGGTCCGCAATATTTTATTTAATTATTGTCGTTTAAGTAGATGTTTTGTTATTATTTTGGGTATTTTGAAATGAGTAATTAAAATAATTACAACTGTTCTTATGGCAAAAAATCGATACTCAAACAAATCAGTAGTTGAATACTAAACATATTCAGAAAACAAAAGTCGACCACTTTTATTGAAAAATCCAAAGATTTCATATGAAGTAAAATTAATTTGAAACTGCACAAACTAAAAATCTGAATTAAGGGCTTATGAAATATTCAAAAATTGTGGTATTGTTGTTCATGACTTGACAAATTCGCATTATAAAACTTGATTCCATTTCGAATTACTTCAAATCCTATTGTTATTAAATATACCCTGCATTTGCACTGTCTGGTCTATGAATGACGACATTGCATTTATGTTAATAACAGCAGTGACGTTACAGGAACTTGCCTTCAGGCAGATGCCGCTACATCAACACTGTATACTGTGGTAACTATAGAGTTGAACAGGACATATTACTACATGTAGTGAGAGTCCTTAATGACTCAAAAGCAAAAACAAACTATAAACTTTTAAAATTTGTTAACTCGTAACATCTATTAGTGTGACTCACTGAAATTTTACGAATGAAAATACAAGCTTAAGAATGATAGATTGATAGGATATGCCATACTAACATTTAGAAACAAACAAAATAGCATCGTCTAAATGTAGTATACTAAGTAAATGTCATATAAATCATGGTTTTTACTTATTAGTTGTCAACATCTTGTCACTATACTTTTAAAATTACAGCTTATGACTTTGATTTTAGCAAATCTTGGGTGGAGCTGCTAAATTTTCAAACTATAATTAGTTATCTATTTAATTCTTGCTGCACACTTTCACAAATATATTTCTGCAACGTATAATTAGTAATGCTGTAATTATGGAAATATTTCCAAGCACTGGCAACAATGACTCATCAAACCTAAACATTTTTGTTACAATTAGGATTAGGAGTACCGTATCTAATATATTTGCCAAGATAGAAGCTAAGTTCCTTACAAGGTTTATGGCTATTGTTACATCTGTCTGGATATTTAAAATATTAACAAAAAATCAAATGGTCGATTAAGCACAAATTAGATTTTTAGAATCTCAGAAAATAAATATAAATATCATTTCAATTTCGCTGAATAGGTAGAAGTCCTATCTAAAAACATACATAAAACACTTTCTATCTCAGCAATAATATAATCAGTCTAAACAAATCTTACCGGTGGTTGAGGTTCATTTAGTGACATCTTGTCCAAAGCCTCAATGTTGTCGTTACTACTTTGAGGAGTATCGTCTGAAATTTATAGAAGAAAACACAGTCAGACCCATTCAAAACATTACAAATTTCTATATTCAATAATTGATCATTGAATTTCACTACACCAAATACACATGAATATTTAATAAACTGCAATGTATCATATTATGCATATAATGAATTTCACCACATGTATATAATGAAAAATATAATCAGGCTGATGTATCCATCTTTCATAAAAACACTGTATAACACAGTGGTGGCATGGCATCATCAAAAAATTGTTCCTGTGAATTAAAATAAAATAGCACAACGGGGTCTCATAAAAAATTTGAAAAAAAAAATTTCAGCTTTCTACGACTTCTGGAATTTTAAAAATCATTGGGTCCATTAGTTGCAAAAAAAAGCGATTTTTTATAAATAAAAAAAACAGCAATAAAGCAAAACGATCCATCATGTCTAGTAGTAACTAGTAACTAATAATCATGATAAAATTCCATTTCAAATTCACAATATTATTAATACATTCATTGTGTTATCAATATCAACTATAAAAATGACCAGCCATAAAAAATAGGACACTTAATAAAATTTATTTATGAAATATTTTTACCTCGTGATGGAATGTACCAATCACCTTCAGATTCTTCTTCTTGCCACATTTCCTGAAAACATGCTTCCAGATATTCTTCCTGCTGCATTTGTTCCATCACCTTGAAAAGAAAAGTAACATATGTCAACATTCTGACAATCGAATGAAATTAAGCTATACACAAATGAATGAAACTTGGGTTACCTTACCACACACACAACTTGCTAGAGATAAGCAAGGATAAATTTTCATTTCTTGATGATCTCACCAAAAATACTTCATTGAATGAAACCTATGACAAGCTACTTTTAGCAGGGTACAACATGTAAATTATAATATAAATAAAAGTGGATGCCCTAATGGTAACAATAACTCGAAGAAATTACAAAAGTATTACTCAAATAAGCTGAGGCTGTATATCCTTAGAACACACCATATGATCATGGCAGTATCTAAAATTTAACATCAGCTAAACCACTATATTTATTAAATATAGTATATTTGAATATAACATTTTTTCATTATCTAGCAGAATTTGATACATTCCTATATAATATGAGGCAAAACATCCATTTAATTTTGTTCTCAAATAGATGCTGTAAAGACAATGATAGTATGATTTTTGCATATCAGAACGCGTGCAGTTTCACACATAATAATAATATTTTAAGTAGTCAATCACCTTTGAGCCTCCAGGCAATCAATAAAATGTCAAAGCTCAGACAGTATTTACGGCCTACTAAGAGGCACAAATTCAAGGCACATGAAATAAATGAGGGCATGGCCAATGAAAGTACAATTAATCACCTGTTATAATACATTGGGGGGCCATACTTGAGAAGAAATAATAATTGATTATATATCATAGTCAGGTACTCAGGTTCACATGGGTTCATATTCAATCAATTATTGAAATAATAATAATAACATGGCAAGGACAATTTAATACAGCCTGCTGCATTCATAAATCATCAACATTAATGCACTTGTAATTTCAATTACAAATGAACAAAAATGAAATATTACAATATAAAACAAAAGAAACATCTGCAGAAATTTGCACACATGAATAGATATTTACGAAATACTTTTGTGAGGTATTTGGAAATTCAAAATTTGGCCTATTAGTCCTATAATCTCCTGTATCAAAGTTACTTAGAGTAAGTTACATATGGTATACTATGGGGTATGGGCACATAATGCTATGGACCACAAGTAGTGTATCCAGCGACCGTAAGACTTCATCATGTTCACTAATCAAAATTTTAATGTTTATCCAATATAATATTAAATCAAATTACTATGAATAACAAATATAAATAATTCCCAACTTCATAATGATATTGGGCATTGATTAAAAATCCACAAACAAACACATTCGACTATCGAATTTGTGAAATTGCAATCAATGTTCCATTAGCCATTGCAAGATGGTCAATCGTATTGCCGTAGTCTCTACTAATTAGGCTAGCCACCATTCGCACATAGTAGATGACGAAATATGATAATATACCATTTTTCCATGAAATAAAAATACAAAGAGAAATCGAACACTTACAATACAATAAGAATGTAATGTAAATGTAATACCTGTCTTTCAAATTCATCCGGATTAACCATCCATGCATATTCAGCAAATGGATTTGAACTGTTGGGCGATAATGGTGATTGTTGTCCATGTGTTTGATGGTAATTTGCATTAGATTCATTCCGTTGAGAATGTGAGCCATTCATGTATGAACTCCTTAAAAATATTTGAGTAATTATAATGATAAAAAAATGATAAGTTTGAACAAAAGTAGGTTCATATAAATTCAAAAACTTCGTAATAATCTAGAAGTTTTCTTGAATCATGATGATTCTTACTAGCATATAGCTCGCAATGTGCTCGTATTATCACATTGATCATACCATATTCACTGAAGAAAGAAATTTGATTTGAAGGTCGCAGAATGAATTACCACAGAATAACCACATTTACACAGGAAATGACATTTGGAAAATATATAACAATCTGATGCTAAACATACAGATAATGACATGTACCAAGGATAAAAATGCAGCTGTATTGGATTTGACAGAAAAAAAAACAGAAATCATACTAATATACTTCATTTAAATATACAAAGCAGAGCGTAATACTAAATTAGTACATTCTAAAAACAATACATGTTTTATGTTGCACTCTCGCTAAAAATAATAAAAGTACCCTAAACAAAAAGAAACATATATATTATACATACCTGTTATTCCCATTAAAATTCGCATTTTCCGACGACGAATGTTGTTCTGGCATTTGTGAGTCAAAATAATGAGAATTTTGATAATGTTGTGGCATGTTCAAGTATGATTGATGGTGAGCAACATCTTCATTACTTGGCCCTCTCATGATTCAGTGATTGTCCTTAGCTAAAATAACTTTATATCGAGCAATGTAAATAGTAACTAGAAAATGAGAAGGTAGTGATTTTTAGTTCGTTTTACTCGGCAAAATAGGTAAAAGAACCAGTTCAACGCACTCTAAAAATGGGAGACATATGCTTTTGAATTTATCCTGGCTATATATATATTTTATTGTGTGTAAAAAATGCAATAACATGCTCCATTGTTATACTGTTGTTCAATGGTCTTGCATAAATAATAATATGATAACAGACCAGTAACATAGATTGTACAGACATGAACTGAATCACTTTTAAAATAATCAGTTTTGATAATAGGATAAAACAAGAGTTAATTAATAACTTTCAATCAAATCTAATTGAGGTGATCAAAAATTTTGTTAGGAAATGGCATATACATGTGTAAAAAAAACTTGAATAATGTAAAATTAGAACCCGGTGCTGATAAAGAGATAAGAAGGTAATCAAATTTTGCTTCCGAGGAAAAATTTCCAACATACGATGTGAAATTATGATTTTAGTCTATTTAGGGAATAAAATTTGACTTGAAAAAAATAAAAAATTAGACTAGTTTATTTGAAGAAATAATTTTGTAACACCAAAAATCTAAAGAGTAGTCTTAACAACTTTGGATAATGACTAAGATATAGAATTTTAAACTGCTGAAACAATCATTATTTACCCTCATCATTATATCAATTTTAGATATCAAGTCTATCGCATAATTTCAGGGGTCTAGTATAGTTTAGTACCACAAGTACTTCCAGTGGGCGTAGCACAACGATTTTTGCATATGTTATTCCTAACCCTCACCCGACTATGCCATCCAAAAATTACGTCACTACGACGTCACCATCACGTCATAGGGATTGTCAAAGTATAATTACGATCGCCCGAAATGGCATCTGCGCCGCCGATAACGAACTTGCTAAAGCCGGCGATCTCTCTCGTATCGTGATCGTTGCGCAGGAAAACGAGAGAAATAGCTTGCTCGATTTCGGGTGATCGCCTGCGCGTTTTGGACGACCATCCGCATATTTCGGTGGGCCTTATTACGCCAATGTGACGTCGGAATGACGTAATTTTTCGGTGACGTAGTCAGGTGAGGGTTAGGATTGACATATGCAAAAATTGTTGAGCCAGGCCAACAAGAAGTGGATGTGGTTCTAAACTATACCGGTACCAGACCCAATTTCAGTTACCGGTATCTGGTTATTAATAAAATCAAAGAGTTTATCACAATGCTGCAATGTCTATGTCGAATGGAGATTTCAAAAACAACAGACAAAACAACAGGATCGACTGCCAATAATATTTTTAGTCTTATACTGTTTTATTAATTCAGCAATAAAATTCGTATTTTCAGCCGACAACCAGACAAGGACATAATTACTGGTACCGTACTGAAGTAAGCAAAAGCTAGCTGTACCAGGTATAAGCGCTACCGGCAGTACGGTACGGTACCGGTACTGACGTACGGTAGGTCTGTAGGTACCGGTACCGTACCGTGCATTCTGACAGTCGACCGTGCTCGCTTTTGAGCTTAGACAGTCCGTCAGAACTGCCAGAGCAGAACCCGCTGCAGCAATGAGTAAGTAAGTTATTAACATTATACAGTATTACAGTTTTTCGATATTATGACAATTATCAATTCCGTGGACTATTTTTCTTGCCCGCACTCATACAAAAGCAACCACACGTCGGTAAGCACTAAGTGGAAAAGAACAACTATAACGCAGGATTGCTTCCGCAGGACCGATTACGAGGAGAAATGCCCGACGAGGCAGCGCATAAACAAACGTCATAATGACGACAAACGCATCACCAATAGCTTTTAGATTCAGAAGTCCAACCACATTGACGCGTTGCTCGCCAAAATGTCTGAGAAAACTTTCCCGAAGTTCGATATATCTACAAACCAATTATACATAATGTAGTAATCGAGTTTTTCATATTCTTATGCAACAATTATTCATACAACAAACAGCGCAGTGGACTGACAATAAAATTACCAATACCATATTATCGTGGCGGGCGTGATGACAAGCTAGCTGTAAATCGTCCCGGATTGCAGATCGCTATTTTTTTGATTAGCCTACAAACAGATATGAATTTTTATATACGTTCGCCCACAAAAATAGTTATGGTAACATATTTCAGGTAACTGAACCCGTATCAGGCGTTTTAAACCGTACGTGCTCAACTGACATCTTTAATAATTAATTTGTGACACATTCGAAGTGTACTTTCCTATATTTCGTTATCACAACGACTAACATACTTGGTACTGGTTATCACCAATACTACCTGGTTTCTGTGCATACGCGAGCGCGAAATATATATGAAGCGTAATATATAAAAAATATTTTTTTAAATAAATATAATGTAATAGCCTCCTAGCGAAGACAAGAGACACTACAACAACAAGAAATATAATTCGTTGCTTTTTCCTGACTTCAGTATCTTTAGTTTTCTGCAACTAAACCAGTGGTTCCCAACCTTTTTTTCAATTACCCACTTCCGGTTGAAACAAAGCCCTCATTCCTCGCATACTAAAGCCTTCAATGAGGTGAATATAGAGGACTTGCACGGGTCACGTGACTTTGTTACTGGACGGCAATAAAACAAAAACGTCCATTTGGCTCCTGCCAGTTGCAAGTCGGATTATACGTTTCCATTTTGTTTGGCTGTTGAAAATGGTTATTTCGTATTGTTCCGTTGGCTGTACGTATAGTATAGACAACGAAATGGATCTTCAGTTATATTCCACTGATTTCAAAAGATCCGGAACGTCGCACAATGTGGATATCATCTATTGCCTATTGGCAGAACTGCTTGGTGTCAAGTCCAGAAGCCATCTTACTTGTGTTTCACTGTTTGCGGACAGCACTTCGTTGATGGTGAGTGATAATGTGGTGATAGTGTGCCGTTATCAATTTTTTCAAATATTCACAAGCTCCCTCATTTCAATGGAAAGCAGATGACAAACTACTGTTATTAGTAGGCCTTGGCGTGGGCCTACTTGCAGTTGCAGACTTGACTTGTGTAAGACAGTAAGTAATCAATAATCAATTGCTATAAGGTATTGTTTCCCTGATTAGCAGGTAATCTATCACTAAGTGTGAAAGGTTGAATAGATAACTAAAGTTTAACACCAGTGGTCATGCAAAAAAACACCAGAATTCAATTGAATTTGCCATCTAGGAATACGCTCGCTACCGCATCTCTGATCACCCTGGTAGTTTCACAGGTTTCAATGTTGTCTGATTGTTTTGTTAGTTAGCAGGTAATTTATTACTGATCTGATACACAAACTTGGCACTGTCAAATGATGATTAGTGTTTAATTTATTTTCAGGAAAAAGGGAAGATAACCCATTATCAGCTGCTTATATGTCCCATCGATATTTGAATTTTCGCCATCCCCAGAGAGGAAGAGAATAGCTAGAAAAAGGGGGATTTTTAAGAAAGGCAAAAGGCAGGACCATTTCAACAAATTCTGTTAACTTGTATGCGTTGCAATATTAATTTGCAGTTGTTAGAATAAACATTTAATGTGTCTTTCGACTAGACCTACCACACGTTAAAAAAAGCCGCCTACACCCCTTTTCACTAGAACCATAATACTGTAAAATATTTGATAGAAATTACCCCCGAGGCATCATATCTTCCATTTGAAAGGGCTGTGGAGGCAGATACATTTTTTACTCTAAATTATGAAATGTTACTTCCAGGTTATCTTATCCTTGCTTATAGATATCTTGAGGTTAGTGACTCCAACTGACCCATGCATGCCACACTGAAAATTCTCTTGTGTACCCATAAAATAAGGCTGTTGGAGCCTTCAGACCTTGAAAACAGTCGAATCTGAGCACGATGGATTCATGTGAAACACGTAATATGCATTTAGAGGCAAAAATATCCCATCCTGAGCAGCACCGATCCACAACCTCCTGCCTATTGAATCAAAACATTAGACAAATTGGTGTACTGTGCGCATTCACAAATCTTTGCGAATCAAGTGTGCCTTTTGACTAAAGAAAATTTAGCATTGAAATGGTCAATCTCAATATCAACCTAGTATCTGCAGATAAAAACCAATTGTTTTTTAAAAATACATTTCTGATGTGCTTTATTTTTCAAATATAATTTATAATTACTGTAAAGTGTGTGATACATTTGGTACCATGAATACCATTTGCAAATTAGCTTGGGTTACACCCCTCTCGAATGAAAGTTTAGACTCTTAAGTCATATCTCATAACATTCTTTAAACAAAAGGTTGCGGCTAGCCGGCTACCCATCAGAATTTCCTTTCAGATCACAAAGTCGCAATATTACGCCTCGCTAAGTTTCATTGGCAACTGTATCTGGTTGTAGTATCGGTGTCCAACGTTGGACTGAAACCTTCACTACCAGACCCACCGAAACAATTTTTTTTTCTTGATAGGGTCGTCTTGAAGTTGCTTTCGTTAAAGCACAATGGACACTTTATCTCCACCAATCCACAGTAATCACAAGTTACTTTGTCATTACGATAAGCATCAATAAATGGATACTTAGGATGTATTATCAAGTCACGCAAGCTGAGGTCTTGTGCCACTGTGGTCTTGTTGCAACTTATACTTTGCCATCCATCTATTCCATGGTCGCAACCATATCTGTAAGATAATGGATACAGATAGAGTTTTCATAAAATCTAACGATCAAGGAGTGTGTAATTTATATTCATATCCCACCACAGCCACAGCCTTCTGACCATTAATGATGATTTCTTTCAATTTAAAACGCAACTACGCCTACGAATGTGGGTAGTTTTAGGATAGAATTTATCTGTGGTTGGGGACAGATTGCAAGGTGCAACATCGTACGATTACCATTCTATGTCGGGATTAGTTAGCCAGTTATTTGTTTTAGAAGCATGGACTTGATGGGGGGGGGGGGGGGGGGGGATGTCGTAATCGACCAGCGGTCGTGTGAACCACCCTCAGTGGGAGGAGAGCTGCAATCCCCTCGCACATAACTATCCCCGCATGGGATTGGAACCTGTGAAACTCCCAGGGGGATCAGAGATGCGGTGGCGAGCGTATTTTTAGATGGAGAATTCAATTGAATTCTGTTTTTTTTTGCATTATCACTGGCGTTAAACTTTAGTTAGCTATTCAACTTTTCACACTTACTAATAGATTACCTGCTAACTAGGGAAAAATACCTTATGGCAATTATTGATTAATACCTTACACGAGTCAAGTCTGCACGTAGGCCTCCGCCTAGGCCTACCAATAACAGTAGTTTGTCATCTGCTTTCCATTGAAATGAGGAAGCTTATGAATATTTAAAAAAATTGATAACGGCACATTATGACTCACCATCAACGAAGTGCTGTCCGCAAACAGTGAAACACAAGTGAGATGGCTTCTGGACTTGACACCAAGCAGTCCTACCAATAGATGATATCCACATTGCGCGACGTTCCGGATCTTTTGAAAACAGTGGAATATAACTGAAGATCCATTTCGTTGTCTATACTATACGT